GGATTCTGTGCTCAAAATCGACCACTGGTATGTCTCGATCGCGAGGTAAGTTCTGACCATTCCCTAGTGAGTCGAAGAGGCTCCAGTCCTCCAACGACTACATGTCGGCGCATGCCGCATGAAGGGCATCAGAGCACGAGGAGCAACTCAGTTGAACGGATCAGAAAAGACTTCGATTTCTCCATCGCTGAATCGCGGAAAAGGCACCATTCTGCCGAGTACGGTTTTTGGAGAACTCGGGACTGGTGAATGGATCCATTTTCGAAGCGTTCGAGAACTTCTAAAAGATTCTGGAGAGATTCGAGATGACGAGCTAGTTCATCATGTTCCTTTCGAATTTCCGTAACCAATCCTTTCGCCGTTCTCACCGCCTTCTTCTCGTTTCCCTCAATTTTCGTGGAGGACTTGTTGTCGAGCTCCATAGCCATATCGAGGAGGGGATCGAATCCATAGCGCTGGACAAGTCCCATAACAATATGAAGGGAAGGTGGGATGACGTTGGGCAGAGGAACTCTCTGGAACATGAAGCTTGAGTTTTCATAGATGCTATTAGTTCCCGTAAGACAGTCTTGAATGTAGTCGAATTCCGATCTTAACTTGATGGCTCCGACTTGGTAATTCCCAATTTTCTCTCTTTTTTGGCAAAACAAAATGAACAGGGAAAATTGGAGGCGCCGCCCATATACCCGATTGCGGCGTATTCGAACTTCAAATCGCCTCCCAAAAACTGCACTGCTGGAATCTTTTCTTTGTTGCCTCCAATCGACAATTTTAACCCGGTTAGATTGTTGAGCTGGGTTATCAAGTTACTCAGATGGCAAGATTTTCAGCATTCTCTTCGTCGTTGAACATCCCCAGTGGTACGATATGGTACGCACTATTAGGTACTTCAATGTTTTCAAGTCGCGCAGAGCTTAAAATGGTATCCTCCTTTATCACCTGAAATTTAATTTCTCCAGAGTCTCTTAACATGTATATTTACCATTGATGCAGAGCCAAATCGTTCTGCATGTTGATGAATCAAATATCATTTTTCCGACGATACGCGTAGATGGGAGTGGGCTCAGTATGCTCTTTTGGCGAAGAAAGTTGTTCATCGCGGAGCTCTCGAAAAGCCAACTTTGTGAAACAGTGTGTATCCCTCAGTATGACTCAGCTTGCTTCTGAACTTTTCCGTGCTGCTCAGTTTTTGGATAACGTCACCTCTTCTCCTTAAAAACGTATTTCGGTGATTTTTCACTTCTCTCTTTCTCTAACCTGAAATGTACTTGAGTGATTGGATGGCCTCATCCACACGACCTGCTTTCACTTTACTGTTGGTCAGACTACTATAGCCCTTCACGCCATCAAAACGGTGCAAGTCTCGGAGCTCCTCCTGTATCATTTTCCTACTTTTACTAGTCTCCTCGTTGAGCTTTTGAAGCTTGTGCCATCCTTCTCAAGCCATTGATCTCTTGATCGTTTCCGGTCATTTCAGCTCTCCGGTGTCTTCTGTTTTTGCTCTTCCCTCCATCTTGACCTTCTCCCCTCTCTCTCTCTCCTGCCTCACCTTCTCTTCCAACTGAGCGATTCGAGCTCTGAGAAGTACCTCGTCTCTAGGATTTTCGATGGTCACTCGGATATTGTTCATATCTAAATGACAGGTAGATCATTTGCCTAGAAGCAACTGCGCATAGATTATTCAAGGACTGCAGACCCTGTTTGGCACAACCGTTTCAAATTTCAGAATAATATTTTTTTTCTGATTAATAAGGAATCAACAAGGATCAACAAAGACGACAACAACTGCACCCGGAAAACATGATTTTTCAGGTTATTATTTCCACGTATCTTTGCACACAGTTGATCATACGGTAGTTTTTCAGAAAATGTCCACTCCAGTGCTCGTCGACTCTTCACCACTCCACAACACCACCTCTTCGATAACTATTTCAACTTGTTCAATCTGAATGAAAAATTTGATTATTTCTTCTTTTTATTCTTCAAACTATGGAGCTTCCTCTCCAACAACAAACTGTTCCTTCCTTCTATATTAAAATCTTCTGTCAAATTTCGGTAAAAAACTGATGAAAAAATTTTTTAAGAATGATGACTGCCGCGGGGCCAAGTCCTTGAACTTGTGGTGTGCGACAAAGCGCGTTTGCTGGAAGTTACCAGTCGCAACTCCGGGGGTTACGGTAATCTTCGTTGTGGGACCGACTAACTAAAGCACATTTCTAAAGGTTAACAGATTATATAAGACAGATGAGACATCTTCACCTCCAGTTGATTCTTCCTCTTTTTAAGTTCTTTTCTTGTCCTTCTTCTTCTTCTTCTTCTGTTCTCTTTTACTCTTATTATTTCTATGTCTTTTCGTACAATGATGATTTCGTGTAAATTATCTTCTCAGATTTTCAATTTTATTCCCTTTTGAACTAGATGTTCCCGAAAGTCCAATATCGAATTGCACACTTGACTCTGGCACAAGAAATGCGGTTTCGCGCTCACTGGCGCTCTGCACCCTCCGCTCTCTATGATTGGAATTGGAATCGAGTTATTTTTTCTGGTTCAATTTGAAACTGCTTATTTTTCTAATGATGTCGAACCATTTATTTTCGTATTCTCTTGAAAACTTGCAGAACTCGATGTCGTCGACGGCATTTGATGGAGAAGCACCAGAAACGGACGACGAAACCGAAGAGGAGATTTTTGAGAATACACAAGTAGGATCAGCTTCAGCAAAACGAGAAGAATCACATCAAAAGCGAGTCACCGAAACAAAAATTGATTAATTAATTTCAATTTTCAGATTTTCCTCGGTAGACAGAAAACTGGAAAGAAGATGGACCCAAGTTGCAACAGGAGCAATTCAAATATGTCGAAATCGATGCATGAATGAAGAGAAGACTATGCAAAAAGTGATAGAATCGGCTGCTGAATATTTTACTTCTATGCAGGTGAACAGTATATTGCAAACTTTCAAAAGTAAACGTCAGATTTCAGACTGTCGCTGCCAAGCTGAACGTGGTTCATACAAATGTGACAAGGCTGGAGGACTCTGTGGCAGACTTGCTCGAAGCATCAAAATTGATTCCAAACAAATGTATAAATCGCGATCTGAACATTCCCGAATTTTTTTGATCCACAAAATCCTTTTCTTTTTTTGAATTTCAATAAAATTTTCAACCAGTTTTTTATTCTGTGAATACGATCAGTGATTATGGCGCAGTGCAAAGTCCGCAATTTAGATCGTAGTGTATGCTGGGCGCGAAATGTTTGAATTTGAAACGCGCGCGCGCGAGTTTACCGCATTTCTTGTCTTCTCGTTCTCATTCATTCTCCTTCTTCTGCTTCTTCTTCGTCTTCTGATTTTCAGCACCAAGTTTTATTTCAAAAATATAACTGGGCTCCTGATATTTGACATCAGGATTTGTATTGTAATGATTTATTTCTCTCTTAACAAGACGCTCTACGTATCGCGACTTATTTACAATCGCCTAACTTTCGGAGTGAATAGAACTTTATTATTTTTCAGTTGTTCATGTCTCGCCCAAACGATCAGCGTGAGCCACAATCGGAATCTACGGATTTATTTGCCGAGCCATCTTCACAAGGTTCCGGTATGAGATCTGAGCAAGCTAGTGGTGTAATGTCTCCAAGATCAGGTGAATTTTTTTTCGATTTTCGTATTTTCAAGTTTGTATTGCAGGGTCATCGGCTTCTGCTCTTCATTATGGATCAGAAATGGGATCGGTTTCCCAAATGTCATCACAATCCACAATGCGCCGAGGAGGGCCTCGCGGAGATCTCGGAATCGCCGCCGTTGACCACCGTACCGTTCAGATTCAGGGCATGGATGATGACTTGGCCGCGGATGATGGACAACCACGACTTTACGTCTGGGGAACTAGAATTTGTGTGGCTGATGTTCAAAAGTAAGAAAATGTGTATACTTTCTTTATTGTACAAATATCATATCAGATCATTCCGAGACTTCCTCACACTGTTCAAAATCAGTCATTTGGATGAAGACGAGAACATGATGGCTGGAAATGATGAAACTCTTCATCCAATTGACATCAGCCAACCGTACTATATGGAACGTCTCCTTGAATGCAATGACGCCGAAGTCACTCACATCAATTTGAATCTTGCCCATCTTCAATCTTTCTCGGAGCCTCTTTACCGCAAAGTTATTGCATATCCAGCGGTAACATAATAATTAATTTTAAAATCAAAAATCTTGATTTTCAGGATGTCATTCCATATCTCGACATCGTAGTCAATGAAGTCTTCGCCGAACGATTCAACCGTACTCTTTCTCAATCTATTGAACTCCGCCCATTCAACGCCGAGAAGACTCGTAATATGCGTGGATTGAATCCGAACGATGTTGACCAACTGATCACAATTTCCGGCATGGTCACCCGCACTTCTGCTTTGATTCCTGAGATGCGCTGCGGTTTCTTCCAGTGTACCGTGTGTTCCTTTGGAATCGAAAGCGAGGTGGACAAAGGACGCATTGAAGAGCCAGTAGTTTGCACTAACTGCTCGAACACTCACTGTTTCCAGCTGGTTCACAATCGTTCTGTTTTCCTTGATAAGCAAGTTATCAAGCTTCAAGAATCCCCAGATGACATGCCTTCTGGTGAGACTCCACACACCGTTTCGGTATACGCCCATGGTTCGCTCGTCGAGTCAGTGCAACCGGGAGATCGTATCACTGTGACAGGAATCTTCCGCGCTGTCGGAATGAAAGTCAATCCAAAGCAAAGAGCTCTTGCATCCGTTTACCGTACATCAATTGATGCTCTTCATTTTCGTAAAATGGACACATCTCGTTTGCATCAAGACAATGGAGAGACGCTAACTGAGGAACGTATCAATCAAATCATTGAACTTTCGAAACGTCCAGACATTATGGATGCTTTGGCTCAAGCCATCGCCCCATCAATTTACGAGCATGACGATGTGAAGAAGGGACTGCTTTGCTTGCTGTTCGGAGGAACTCGAAAAGATGACGAAACAACGAATAAAACAAAACTTCGTTCGGAAATCAACATCTTGTTGTGTGGAGATCCAGGAACATCGAAATCTCAAATGTTGCAATACGTTTATCGACTTTTGCCACGTAGTCAGTACACTTCTGGAAAAGGATCCTCTGCTGTCGGACTCACTGCATCCGTTAGTCGCGACGCTGATACCAAGCAACTCGTTCTTCAAACCGGAGCTCTCGTTCTCGCTGACAACGGAGTTTGTTGTATTGACGAGTTTGACAAAATGAACGACAGTGCTCGTAGTGTTCTTCACGAAGTCATGGAACAACAGACTCTGTCGATTGCTAAAGCTGGTATCATTTGTCAGCTGAACGCTCGCGCCTCAATTCTCGCTGCTGCGAATCCTGTTGATTCAAAATGGAATAGAAACAAGACTATCGTGGAGAACATCCAATTGCCACACACTCTTCTCTCTCGCTTCGATTTGATCTTCTTGATTGTCGATGCACAGGACGAAATGCAAGATCGAAGACTCGGAAATCATCTTGTTTCATTGTATTTCGAAAATGACGGTGATCAAGCTAAAACCGAACAACTTGACATGAATTTGCTCAGAGATTATATTGGTAAGCTCCCTAATGCTTATTAGTATTCAATTTCATTTTCAGCATATGCAAAGGCCAACATTCATCCGAAACTTGCGAAGACGCATCTCAATTCATCATTGAAAAGTACTTGTTCATGAGAAAAGCTGGTGCTCAACACGGACAAATCACTGCGTATCCAAGACAGCTCGAGTCTCTGATTCGTCTATCAGAAGCTCATGCGAAAATCCGACTTTCACAAGAGGTGTCAGTTGAAGATGTTGAGAAGGCTTTTACGTAAGTACTGCTCATTTAGAAAGGTAACCATTGCTTTCAGTTTGTGGCGTGAAGCTCTTCGTCAATCGGCTGTTGATCCAGCCACGGGACGTGTGGACGTGGCCATTCTAGCTTCAGGAATGAGCTCATCGGGAAGAAAAGCCGTTGAAGCGATGTGCGAAGTCATTCTGAAGCAGTTGCAGTCTGCCAAGGGATTTGTTACCTCGAAGGCGTTGTATCAAACTCTGAAGTCCGCCGATAAGGTGCGAACCTTTTCTCTATTTTTTCATTTTTTTTAAATTTTCTCATTATTACAGGCTTGCTCGAAGGAAGTATTCGATGAAGCACTCAACGAATTGACCAAAAAAGAATCGATTGCTCGATCTGGAGAACGCGTTCGATTCCAGCCAGTCGACGCTTAAAATACTTGAAAACTAATTGCAGCCCAGTTTCCCTTGATTATTATTGGATCTCCAGTTTACTAATTTGAATTTAAATTTTCAAATAATTGTCAAATGAATTTTTTCTTCTCTTCCTTTCCGACCAAAAGTGTTAGGCTAACCCATATTCAGTAAAAGACAAAATATCATCCGATACGTTTGACATAATTTGTTAAATGTATTGTTTATTCACAACTGACTCTTGAACAAAACCCGTAAAAACTACAATTGTGAAGTGGTTACTGTCTATTCAATAAAACGTGGGATCACATCAGAATCTTCTCATAACTACTCCCTGGTCGTCCGAAATTTGGCGAAAGCATATAATCCAGAACTGTTGGCAGTGAAAGGTATCTCATTTGCTGTAGAACCCGGGGAGTGCTTTGGACTACTCGGTCTTAATGGAGCT